GATGTACCTGTTATTCCAACACAAAGAAGGGGAAAGAGGAGATGGTGGAGGGAGAAAAGGGTGGGGAGAAGGGAGACGATGTCCATGGGGGAACTGGGCACTAGTCCACCCAGGGAGAGTGTATTTGTGATGTCTCCACAGAATTGGGCACACCAAACCTTGAGGGCATTGTAACTCATTAAAAAAGTGGTCTACTGGCTTGGCCCCAGAGCCCTCCCTAGAAGTATGTGCTACAGAGGACAAAACTAAACCTACAGGTTGGGAAGAGGGGCCGGCATGCCATGCCAACATGGAAGCAAACCAAGAAGGAAAGAGAGTGAGGATCTAGACCCCATAATGGCACACCAAGCCCAGAGGATGATGTCCCTGCATGGAGCTGCTAAGGCAAAGAGAGGAATGTAGGGCCGACAACAGCTCAAAATATGATGCCCCCTCACTGGAGCATACCGTGACAGAGGACAATACTGGGGACACATGGAGAGGAGTTAGTGTGGTCAGAAACCCCCACAGTGAGACAAAGCCAGAAGGGAACATAACAGATCAGTAATGGGAGCAAAGGAAAGTCCTAAAGCCCCTAAAGAGCCCCCTAGACTTCAGGCTGGAAGGGCAGTTGATGGAATTCCCTCAGGACCAATGGGGAGATAGTCATAAATGTCAGCAGACAGACCTGGAATTATGTATGCTTTCCCCCTCCTAGTTATTATTATCTCCCCCCCCCCTCTTTTTATTCAATCATTTGTTTTCTTTTTGCGTTGTCTCCATTATCGTTGGTTTTTCCTACGTATATAAGATAGGCATGGGAAGTAAACTCAAGGAGAAAGCAATGAGACTGACAGTCCCTGAGGGACTTGTGAGGAGGAGAAGGCAGGAGTAGGGAGTGGTGAGCAAACAATGCCATAGAAGGGGGAACAACTGGGGACTTAAAATCAACAACAAGGAGGGTGTAAAGATCCTGGGGGTGTTGGAGGAATAGCAATCTAGCTGAGAGGAAGTACTAAGAGGCGAAAGTAGGAAAAGTGTGATGGTTGGGCAGGAGGAAGTTAAAAGGAAACAGGAAAGACCTAGGAAGCAAAGTTATGGATAGAGATATAAGCATAGGTGTGTACATACGTAAATACATTAATTCATAAGGCAGAGGTATTAGCCTCTGTACATATATTTATATGGCAATACACTGACTTCGGGCCTCTGCTCATACTTTTCCTCAATATAAGAACACCTTGTTCTAACAAACTGGCATTCTGTGATACTCAGCCTCCCGGGAAGATCACTGAAGACAAAACTTGTGCATAAGCAAATGTGGTGAAGAAGGCAGATGGTGCCCAGCTAACAAAAGATATAGTGTCTGGGGTCTTAAAGGTTTGAAGTTAAACAAGTGGCCATCTGTCAGAGAAGAAACAAACCCACATAGAAGAAGCACACCAGCCTGTGCAATCATGAGGTGAAGATGGGATCGCATAACAGGCATCAGAACAAACAAGCCAGCATACAAAACCATATTGTTGAGAATGAGGGGTTTCTGAGCAGAGACCCCAACCCCATGTGTAGATAATGGGGCATTCTCTCACAGAGGGTCCCAAGGAAAGAATGAGTCAATCAGGGTGCAGTATAGCACCAATGAAATGCACACTATTCCTCTGGTTCCTTGAGGTTTCCCACCCCTGACTACCAGGACCTCAGTCTTGCCTTTCACTGTGGGCTAGACTGGAGCGTGTACACCGGTAGAGATAAGAGATACGAGCTTAGGACCCATGGAATCCAGGAACAGCAATGAGAGTAGTGATACCAGGAGGGTAGGGGGAAGGTGGGGAGAGGAGGTGAGGAAGGAAGAACCCATCACAATGATCAACACATAACCACCACCCCCGCCCCCCGGGAAGAACAAGAGAAACCATGGAGGGAGACAGTGGTCGGTGTAAGATATGAAATTAATAATAATTTATCAAGTGGTCATGAGGGGGCAAAGGGGATTAAAAAGGGGCTGATACCAAAGGTTCAAATAGAAAGTAAATGTTTAGAAAATAATGATGGCAACATATGTAAAAATATGCTTGATAAAATTGATGTATGAATTAGTATAAGAGCTTTAAGGGTCTGCAATAAAATGATCTTTTAATAATAATTTAAAAATTACATTTGTAATGAGGATTCTCTCTCAGGTGGGTGGCTGGGTAGCCACCCAATAACAAATAACAAAGGAAATAAGCAATCCTTACTATTTTCTTAACATTCATCTAGCTTAAACTTCCTAAGTAAGGTTCATTCTGCATATAGGTATAAAAAATTAGATGGAACTATGCTTGGAATATTTATTTATTTGTTTTATAAAACTTACTATACTCCAGATGAAACTCTACATTTTTATCCCTTTTCATTTGTTACTTTAGTAAACAAGCATATAATGAAAAGGAAACAGTGCCAAACAACCTAACAAACACACTCATCCGTTTCAACTTTACGTTATGCCCCATATTCCCACAGGATATTATGAAGAAATTATGCAATGTCTGAAAGTGTTCAAAGAGTTGAAAAATATTGTCAGAATAATTGCTGTAAGTTCAGCAGAAGTGAAAAGGGATCTTTTAAAGATGAACATAATATATTCAGAGAAGAGAAGTTATGTGTTTTGATTATATCAAACACAATGTCTATTGTCTAATTGGCCTACCTTTAAGGAAATCGTATCCTACTTCTACAGTGAAAAGATGGTTAAGAATAAATCATACAGGAAATGATACTTGGACAATTGCAAAGAATATTGCAAGTGAAGACACCAATCAAGAAGCAATATAGAAATATCTTAAATAATAGATGTATGGTTTTTTGGTTAGGTATTATTTAATTTTTTTCATTAGTATTTTAAAACTTTCTTATAACATAATCTAGTTTGTGTACCTCTTTTCTTGTTCTCATTTAAGTATTAATTGTATGAAATAATAAATTACTCTATAGTATATATTATACTTAAAAAGGTCATTAAGGCAGTGAATAGGTTGTTAAATTATTTGAATCTCACCACTGGCTCAAGCACAAAATAATTGTAAGCCTCACGCAGGACTTGGTTCCATTTCGTTCTGTTGTACACAAGGTTGCTATGATTTGGAAATGATTTAATGGCACCTAAGAACAACAACATCATTTTACAGCAGTCCTTTTGACACACCCTTGTAAAATGTAATTAGTCTTTTTTCAAACCCATTCCATCTTTTTGTCCCCTCCTATCTTGTTGATTGGTACTTCCATGCACCTCCTTATTGCCTTTGTTTAAATATCTTGTGTATGTTATAATTGCATTGAAATTATTTTCTAGTTTCAGTTTATTTCATTCAGGTTTGTAAGAGGTTTGGCTTACTTTTTATTATTTAAAATATCATTGTTTTCTTAATTTTTTTCATATTCTCAATATCATTGATTTATGCTCTAATAAGTTTTTTCTTTTGCTTGCTTTAGATTTATTTTGCTTTTTTCAATTTCTCCAAGTAGAAATATATTGAATTGCAACCGTAACCTTACCTCATTTTTAATTTGATAGTACTGTACATTCCTCTCAGCATAACTTTAGCTCCATTCCACATGTCTTGGTATGTTGTATTTTAATTTTTAATTCGGTGTTATGTACGTTTCATTGATTTTGAGACTTCTTTGACCCATAGCTTATCTACGGGCATGTTGTTTAATTTTTATATGGCAAGAAAGAGGATTATTTTATCATGAAGAGATGAAGAGTACCTCCAAGATTAGGTTTTTGTTGTAACTTGATCCCTCTTGCCAGTTGCCTGATTTCTTTACTTAGATGAAAGAATTCCCGGCTTACAGACATAAGAAAGCTTCAGTGGCCAAACTGCTAGTTATGGTGGTATCCTCCTTGCCATTGCTGTTTAGTTTACGAGTGTTTCTTGGTGGGGGAGGAGAATTCAGGCCCAGCAAAGAAAAAAACCATGTCCTCCAATGGCTTATTGCCAATAGTGCTTCCAATTGATCTCCTTTGCCAGAGCTCATTTGATGTTGCTGATGGGACTCTAAATCCATCTGAGGGAAGAATGAGCCTACCTAGGTTGCATTCTGTTGTTAGATTTGGTGTTAGGCTTAGATCACCTTCTTCTGTTCGGTGGGGTATTATAAGATCATGCTTCCGTGTTGTTTCTGTAGGCCTAGAATCCTAAGCAGTCCTTCTTTCAACCTTATACAGTTCTTCTTTGATAGCTTCCTACCTCCCTTCATTATTTCCAGGTTTTATAGTTATATTTGGGGGGAACGAAAGAGGCAGGTGGAGTCTACATCATTTCCCCCAGTATATCTTAATTTAATTATACTCAAGTCTTTCTACCATACAAGTAACTTATCATAGGTTACTAATTTTTTTCAGTTTTTTTTTATGTTTAAAATATTTAATAGCTTTCTATTAATGGACCAACTACACCCAAATCTCCAGATTGCTAGTTAAAATGCGATTCATGGGCTCTCCACAGAAAGACTGGATGAAACCCTTTGAGAAAACATGGTTATAATGAAGTTCTGTTAATTTGACATTAGACAGAGCACAACAGCTATAGAAAAGTAATAAGAACAAAATTTTTTTAAAAAGAACAAAGTAAGATTGTCAAAATTTTAGTTCCTCATAATACTGAAATGCCCTTCATAAGGTAAATCATTTAATGTTGATTGAGATTTTTGTAAAACATAGGATTCAACTATATTATCAAATTAACGAATGCTAATGAGCTGTAGAGAAAATTAGAATGATATAACATGAATTATCTTTAAATGCTTTATAAAGTTGTAAAAGCTTGTACTAGGAGTGTGTCTTGTACTGATTGCTGTATTTTAATTAAAGTTAACTTTGTAAATATTATTATATCAAAATATATTCCTTGAAATAGTATAATCTTAATAAGGTCTATTTCACCAACTTCACAAAAATCATAACAGCTTTCTCAATGACATTCCTATTAACAACATAGGGGAAACCCATTTTCTGCTTTAAATGAAAGATTACTTACTGCTCTTTTTCTAGAACACCCTGTAATCCAAGGCACAGTAAGGTTTCCTGAAATCTGTGGAAACAACAAATGGAATCTCAGTAAGGCATGCATCACCACTACCCGGAATGTTGCTCAACACCAAAGAGTTCAGATAGAGGTCAAGATAGGTATGCTATCAGAGTATATCCCCCATGTAGCCATCAAACATTATTTATTGATTCCAACAAATTAAAACGGGCTTGCTTGGTTAAAAAAAAAGATATAAGCGATACATGCTTCTTCTGGAAATGCCAGAAAGTTTCTAGGACAATGTTGGTGCCAGGATGTATGGTTTAGATAGCTATAGATAATAAAATATTTAAATGAAAATGCAATACCATACAGAATAAGAGCTACAAAAACCATGGAATAGTCAGTGTAGGTGGATTTCTAAAAAGGTATATCCAGAAAGCAAGAAAGTACTTCATAATGAAAAGTGTAAGCTATAAACTATATGAACATATGACCTCCATTTTCTTTCATCACTAAGAGAATTATTTCTTCATGAGTAGTCTTAATTAGAATTTTAGACATATAATGGAACTGATTGAAACATTTTGTTATCTTCAAAATGTGTCTAGTAACCCTGTCCTCCATACTCTTAGGAATAGTGAAGTATAGCTTTTAATAGGCACATTAATTTCATGGAGTATTCACTAGCATAAATTACATATGGTTGGAAAAGGGAGAAAATGTAGACTTTTCAATATTATCACCATTATCAAACCTCTTTAGATAAGAATACATTTCTAATAAAATCTATTAATTTGAGTCACATTCCAATGGTCAATGTTGGTAGTCAATTTTTTATAAAGGTTGAAACTTTGCGTAGATATTTCTAACAATTTATCAAATGGAGAGAGGTAATTTGGTAGCTGAGGATATATATAGTTTTTCAATAATACCTCTTCTACCCACCAGCTCCTACTGAAAATTGAAATGATGCATTACTATTTAATGCTAGAAAATCACATTCAATGGTATGATAGTCCCTTTTCAGCAGAAATAAGTGTTACTCCAGTTGCATTTGTAGGAGGGTTTAGGGGCCCTGGTGGTATATGGTTACGAGTTGGGCTGTGATCCTCATGGTCCTCAGTTCAAAACCACCAGCAGCTCTGGGGGAGAAAGACTGGGTTTTCTATTCCCATTAACAGTTACAGTCTTAGAAATGCACCGGGGGTCACTATGAGTCAGCATTGACTCGATGGCAGTGAGTTAGGTTTTGGTTATAGAGCTCGATAGTTCTGAGGTTATATTCCAGCTGTAACTCATGTTAGCCTAACTTAATCATAATTTTACGTGGGATATACCTATACTGGGGAGAACGCCAAACTTTTATCTTGTCCTTACTTCCCTCCCATATGCAAATATCATGAGAGAGTGACAAGAAGTAAAATCAGTTTCTGTTGTTTTTGGAAATGGGTCACTCAAACATTTATTACATTGATAAATTATATTTATCAATGACTGGTGAATTAGTACTATGACTACAAGGAATAAGGCTAAAACAGTATAAATAGTAAAGTGATATCCTCAATCATTCACATTTCACATAAACTACCATACTGCCTCACATAAACTACCATACTGCCTCTGACCTGTTAGTTTACTTTCATCTCTAAATATGCCTATATGCAAACTCCAAACAAAACGGAATCCATTGCCATGGAGTCTATTCCAATAGGTAGTCACTTTGTATAGGGTTTCCGAGGCTGTAAATCTTGATGGGAATAGATAGCCTCATCTTTGTCCTACAGAGTAGCTGGTGGGTTTGAACTGCCAACCTAGTGGCTAGCAGTTCAATGCTTAACAGCACCATCAGGGCTCACCAACCAAAACTAAACTTGAGTCTATTCCAACTCATAACAACTCTGGCGGGCAGGGTATAACTGTTTCCGTAGGTTTCCAAGCCTGTAACTTTAAATTTTTTTATTATTAATTGGGAGTTAATACATATATCAGAAAGCCCCATCTTTCTGCTGAGAATCAACTGGTGGCTTTGAATTGCTGACCTTGCAGTAGGTTAAATCATCCACAACTCAAAGAATGCAATCAATGTCACTAAATTGTACACATAGAAACAGTTGAACTGATGTATATGATATAATGACAACAATACCAATATAAAATTTAAAGGAAATATTATATAAAGTCAAAATAATACTTTTAAGGACTTGACTTCTTTTTATACTCAAGGTAAAATCATAATGTCATTAACTGGATTGTTGGGATATCAGGGAATATGTGGATATTGATTTCCCCCGTTCTTTCTAATGATGAAAGATGATAAATTCCTTCTTGAAAACTCTTCAAATTTTATAATCTTTTGTCCTCTTATCAGTACCTACTTTGTTTATAGTCATTACAAATAATTTGATTGTTAGCCTTAATAAATGGTAAATCTGCTAAATAGCTACAAAGTACACTCTAAAAAAATTGACATATTCAATTGTTTTGAATTATCTGTGCACATACTCCCATCCAGTAGTGAGGATAATTCTACCTGTGTAGTTTTGCCAGAGAAAGTATGTAATACTGAGTGCATTGGGGGGATAAGCCTAGTAACTACTGAAAAGTAACATATGAAATAATAAAGATAGTACTTATATTAAACATGATAATCACACTTATATAAACATTGGCATTACAAATGTCATAATGTGGCTTCCTCCTGAAATGAATTACATTCAATCAGGAAAGTGGAAAACTCATATAAATACATGTACATACAAATATATTTTCTATGTGATATGAAAGGAGATAACGTTTAATTTTATTTTTGGTTTTGTAATCCTGTGATAGTAGTTACATGAAACTTGAATGTCACATTTAATTATCTTTACTTCCAATTTGTCCTCCAGTTTCTTTAGCTTATGATAAAACTCAGGAACATTTAGGCAGAAGAGCTGAATTTGTAGATTTTTATAATCATGACTTTATAAATATGCATTCCTAATATTCAAAGTTCTATGTAATACCATATTTATGACAAGGGTTTGATGCCATATTGATGACAAGGTTTATCACTCACAAAAACTATAAAATACAGTTCTTCATATAGAGTGATATTAATCTCATTTAAATATTTCACTTCCACACGTACTTTCAACACTTGGTTTAGAAAATTCAAATGAATTTATAAGGAGATATGACTAATTTAAATAATCTATCAGAATTTACATATCCAGATGAATGAGGTATATTTTAAAGTAGAAAACTTGTATAAACTCATTACAATGATGTTGCTTTTATGGAAAGCATTTGGGAACTTTTCTTTTGCATTATCAGCTCATAACTCTCCCAGAACTCTCATTATTTAACATTCCATTTCTTCTTTAAATTGAAAATATAATATCCAAGATTGATCATCTATATTATTAACAAAACATGGCTTAGAAAAAATTCGTACTTCTTTCCAAAATCAAATGAACCTTCAAATGATGAATATTTGTAACCACTGAACATATTTTAAGAATCCCTCAGATTCTAAAGCAATTCTAAAAAAATTCAAACACTTTTGACAAGTTGAACAGTATTGAAATAAATATGTATATAAAATTCTATGGTAATTAATTTTAATTCTGTTCAGATATTTATAAGACATCTTTCTGTACAAGGCGCTGGTTTAGGCGATACAGGAAATAAAGATGGGTAACATAATATACTGGAGTTCTGAGAGGGAGAGATAAGACAGACACATGAATGGTTTTAATACAAAGAACTGTATGACAAATGTCAGGAGAAAAGTGCAATAATGAAGTGCAAATATGGAAAAGTTACCATAATCTGTGGTGTGACATTTCACCCAAAAGCTGGGTAGAACTTTGATAACAGAAATTAAGAAGAGAGCTTTTCAGGGTAAAGAATGCATAAGAACAGTGGAATAAAAGGATAGGATGTATTGAGAATGGCCAGTTCGACTAAAACTTAAAAGGAAAGGTGAAGCTATTTTTCAGAGGGATATGAATACAAAGGAATAATGATATCTAATTGTATAAAAATGGGGAGCAACTAACGATTTTTAAACTGAGTAGTATCATCAGAATTGTATTTTTATATTTTAGGATGATAAATTAGCCTATTGATGCATAGTGAATTAAGGAAATAAGAAAATGCTTATAATAGTTTGGGCAAGGAGTAATCCATGCTTGGATTTGGGGGTAATGAATTTCATAATTTAAAAAAGAAATAGAAAACAGATTTCTAAAGGTAGATCTTAGGTATGATTCTGAAGAAAATGAAATAGTGTTAAGATAAATAGAATAGTTTTCTAGGTGATGAAAAAATATAAATATCTCTGCCAATGGTTAGCCTGTTCATACTTATGAAGAGTCACAACTTTGAATGTGAACCTAATGAAGTTTCTACCAGCGAAAATATGAATATCTTGGGTAATAGTGGATAACTCGAATAGTGGATAACTTAGGTGTAAGCTGGAGTTGTATCATATGCGTAGTTTAAGTTTGAGAATTTAACTGTAATATACTTCTTCTGATATAAATAAAATTTTGTAAAATTATATTTTGAATACACACTGCATATTAAAATATTAATTGTGCATTATACATTAAATATGTACTGTGTATAAGCTTATATACAAGGAAACATATATATAGTTATATGATTTTATGGATAGCTTCAGTGATTTTCAAAAGAATTTTTATTATTTCACTTTAAACCCTTCAGAACCTACAAATGACCCTAGTATCATATTTCTGGTAGAGTATGAACTTCTTGAAGGCAAGGTATCATTTTTAAAACAACTAGTATAATTATTTTTGTATTGTCGCAAAGAGTACACACACAAAAATTGGTTGATTTAAATTTTTCCTATTAAAAAAAATTCTACACATAGACTTATTTTCCTATTATAATGCCTCAGATGAATTTAAGCATGGGGTACCTTACTAATTCAAACAAAACATGTACTGTCATCTAGTCAATGCTGACCTCTAGAGACCCTATAGGACATGGTAGAACTGCCCCTGTAAGTTTCTGAGACTGTAAGTTCTTTCCAGGAGTATATAGCTCAG